AATTATGATCTTATGATAGAATTAAACCATCAAATATATCATAATGTATTACAAAATCAAAATAAATAAAAGCATTATTAATAGTATACAAATTACTATTCTTTTGATGTAATGATATTTTTGTTTTATAACTTCTATACATTCAGATAAATATACTTTTATTACCTTCTTATCAACTTACTCATTGAAACATATTTCATTACCATTAAATAATAATTTAGATTGAATATCATTACAAAGTGATTATAAAACAATACAAATATTAATTATTTCATTTTATTTAATATTCATTGTATATTATCTAATTGTAATAATGATTATATAAAATAAGAAATGAACTTAAATGATAATCAATTCATTTATTAATTTGTTATCCTTTTCATATTTAATAAATGAATTGTATTAATGAAATAATAATTGATAATTTAAAATTAACATACTCATTTATTAATTTCATAAAATCGAAATCAATTTTTTTATTTATTTTTCATTTACAATGTTTTATTTATCTTATCTCTCTTAATAATATTCAACATATTTTAATGTATTATATTAAATACTAATGATAATTTAAACTTTATTTAATCATTCATCATTTTACATGAATAATTGTTTCAACATTCATTACAACAATTAAATAACATAATAATGAATGAATAAATAGATTTCATTTAAATCAAATTAAATTAATAAAATGGAATGATAAAAACAATTTTAATTTATTAAATAACTCTTTAGAACAAGAAGTTTTTGATTAGTTAATTGAGAGCATGAAAATGATAAAGAATAAAATTGAACAATGATAGATTTAATGAAAAATGAAATATTTCATTTCATTCAAAATATCAAATAACAAAATAAATAAATAACAAAATATAAAAAATAATATTCTATTAATAAAATAATAAATTATATAAATTATAATAAAATGATAAAATAATCATTATTTCCTTTCTATATTTTATTTCAAATATGTATTGTATTTAATAAGTTAAAAACATAATGATATAATAACATGGTTAGTTTTTATTATGGTTATACAATTCGTGTGCATAGTTAAAGTTCTTAAATTGTTAATCTTTGATTATTAAAACCTAACTTCAACACAAAATGAATAAAGCAGAAGTATATGCCTATTTAGATGAACATAAGATTCAGTACGAAGTTACTGAACACAAAGCAGTATTTAACATGAAAGAAATCTCTGATATTAAACTTCCATATCCCAACTCAGAAGCTAAAAACCTTTTCATCCGTGATGATAAAAAACGAAATTATTATCTTTTGTCTGTTCATGGTGATAAGCATGTGGATTTGAAGAAATTTAGAAAAGACAATAACACAAGACAATTATCATTTGCTTCAGACTCAGACTTACTGAACACACTTGGTTTGATTTCTGGTGCAGTGTCACCCCTTGGAATATTAAATGACAAGGAAAGAAAAGTTCAGGTTTTTATTGACAAAGAATTTTTAAATAGTGCTGATGGTCTTATAGGAGTTCATCCAAATGATAATACTGCCACAATTTGGTTGAAAGTTAATGACTTAATTGACATCATAAAATCTCATGAGAATGAGGTGCATGTCATAGAGTTTTAAGGAAGAGTTGGTGATCCAATGTATTAATCAATTGATTGATTTTTGATTAAATGATAATAACGAAAAGTGTTTATGGTTTTATTTTGAAGAAAATAAGTAATTTAAAAGATGAGTAACATCTAATACAATTAATACTTAAACTAACATATATAAACAATCAATTATAGATTGTTTATGCCATTTTATTGTGAATATTAGTTATATTCATTTGATATAGATTTCATTTGTATTTATGTCATTTTATCTTTCTTTCATTTGTTTCTTTTCTTTATTCTTCATAACATTTACTACACCCACTTCCTATTATTATCCTTCTTTAATGTTTTGGTTTAAAGTGATGTATAAGATGAAACAGCACAAAAGTATAAAACAAACACAATAAAAGAATGATAAATCAATAACAATAAGAAATATAAGTGATAGAAGAATGAGAATGTATATTAATTATAATGAGAAATACATTAATTATCATCATAATCATTATATTTTCATTTATCACTTCATCCATTTCATCATATTATTTAATAATAATTCAAATAGAAACAATTAGTATTATCATAATACAAATAATTATCATAATAAAACAAAAAGAAGATATAAACAATATCAAATTAATAAACAAAAACAAATAAGAAATAAAAGAAATGATAGAAAGAATAAAAGATAATCCAAAATGAATAATTAAAAGAATGAAGAGAGTATTTGGTAAGAATATTAATTTCAATGAATGAATATAATACAATTAAACGAAATAAAACATGATGTAAACAAATAATTGAATGGGTAACAAATAAATTAAATGAAAGATATTTAAATGATTGGAAAGAAAAGAAATGTAGTGAATATATAAGAAATGTAAATTGTATATTTAATAATAATAAATTAACAGTAGCCACATAGAGGTCATTAAGTATAAAAAGAAATGTATTCCTCCAAGTAGTAAAGATGCAAGAAGGAGTAACTATGAATTGAACGTTAAATCTAAAATACTCAATTGTGATGCTTTAAAATATTGTAAACATTGTTATATCACAATTCCATCTATAAGCCATATTTTGTTAGGATGTCTTGTAATGAAGAAGAATCAAATATTAAAACATGAGTATGTAAACAAAAATATAAACATATATTAATTACATATTTTAATGAATCTCATGAAATAGATTTTAATATATATCATAAATGTATTAATAATAATGAAATGGTTATAAATTACATTAATGATTTATTGGTTAGTGACCATTCGTTTAATGTTAGAATACCAGATATATATTATCAAAATATCAAAGAAAAAAATGATATATTAATGATGTTGATATATGTCAAGATAGAAATAATGAATTAAATTATATTTACAAAATAAATAATTACAAAGAATTACAAGAGAAGTTAATACAAAATAGAGAAATAATTTAAGTAGAAATAATACTTGTAATATTAACAATCAATTAATACATAAAGAAACAGTAAGAAGATTAAAAACACTAAAATTACAAATTGACTTCAACAAAATACTACGAACAATCATTATAAAAAACATGAAATATTTAATGTTCTACACATTCAACACTGGCAACACATTAGAAGATGAACCTTCTAATTCTCATATGTTAGAAGTGAACTCTATTGTAGAAATAGAGCATATTGAAAAACTGAAACAATCACTTCTCAATATTCATAAAATCAAATTGTGGATATATCTATTATTTCTTATTTTTTTTTTTTCTTTTTTTCTTCTTCAACGGTATCTCGTGTTTTTTGAATCATTTCATTTGAAATGGTTCGTTCTTTTTCTTTCTTTTTTGTTTGAAGTTCTTTAATAGTTTCTTCTATTTCTTTGATTTTATTTTGAAGAATGTTGATTTCTTATTTGTTATCTTCTTCTTTCTCTTATATTTTTTATTTATCTTATTTTTCATTTATTATTTGATTCGAAGATAGTACGTCAGAAACACCACACAGAATCCTAAAATATTTCCATCCTTCGATTCCCCCCAGTTATGGACTGGTTATGACGTTGCGTTCGGTTAGAAAAACATCTTAATCAATACTACAAGAATAACAGTGTTTATTATGTACAATGACAGAATATCATTGACGATAAACAAATGGGTATTTATAAAGATGTTATTATTACTTGTTAGAATACAAGTATATTTGATAATATAAGAAAGATTATCAAAGGAAAAGGGTCAAGTGGTTGATTCTAAAAAGAATATTAGCCAATAGTAATACAGTAGTAATTATATATTCTCCTTAAAATAATAAAATAAAGAAAAATTTTAATACACATCAAAATTAAAAAGAAATTAAATAATGAATATTTAAATAATTGATGTTTAAAATACTTTATTGTACATTAAATAAAGAGAAAATGAAAATCTCACCGTTCAACAACTAGAAGCAAAGAATAAGTCAAAAGTTGATGAACAAATACTTTTAAAGCAAATGGATTAGTTAATCTCCGCTGAGCAAGTAACAATAGAAAATATTTCTATTAATACTTAATTAATACTTTTTACTCATTTATTATTATCGTAGTTTTATTTCATTTCTTTGTTTTTTGTTTTTGATTCATTTTTCATTTATTTTAATACCTTCTTCATTTATTTTGTTTTATCTTTGAATTCTTCTTTGTTTTTATTTATTATTTTATTATTTATTATTGAATATAATTCTTGGATAATATTATACATTCTCTTTATCTTCTTATTTTTTATGTATTTCTGATTATTCTCATTCTTAATTTCACTTCTTATTCTTTTAATTTTCTTTTGAATTTCATTTGTTGTTAATAATTTAGATTTCTTATTTGTATAATATTTATTACCATTATACTTGCCTTGTTTTTTATTTGTTTTTATTTGTGTTTTTCTTTTTCTAAACCCTTTTTTCCTGTTATTTCTTTTATCATAATTATTATTCATTTTATTGTTATTTTATTCATTCTTTTCTTTGAACTTGAATATCTGTTTGTTGTTTAATTTTCATTACAAGAATCTATTCCATTACTCAATAAGCATGACAACAAAATATGATGTATATTCTGCATTGATAAAACAAACAAAATAAAACAAATAAATAAGAAGATAAATAAAATAAGAAATAATAAATAATAAACAAAAGAAAATAAAGATATAAAGAAATAAAATAAAAAAGATAAGAATAAGAATATAAAAATAAGAATATAAAAATAAGAATAAAAAGAAATAAAGAATAAAAAAGAATTATAAAACAAATATAAAGAATGATATATCAATCAATAAGATAGAAAAGAATAATATCAAAAAGAATAAATAAGAAAAGAATAATAATAATATAAATGATAATCAATTATAATTTATTTCTACTTTAAATTATATTGTATTTCATTTATTGTATTTTTATTTCATTCATCACTATTCAAAACAATTTCTTGGTATTGTTTTATTTTTCTTTAATTCTTCTTCACATCCACAACCATAAAAACAAGATTTTCCAAATGACCTAATTGATGATGGTATATTAATTGATGTTAATGATGAACATCCATAAAAACAACAATTTCCTATTTCATTAATTGATGATGGTATAGTAATTAATGTTAGTGATAGACATCTATAAAAACATTTATACCCAAATGATGTAATTGATGATGGTATATTAATTGATTTTAATGATGTACATTCTTTAAAACAATTAAATCCTATTTTATTAATTGTTGATGGAATATTAATTGAAGTTAATGATGAACATTTACTAAAACATTTATCTCCTAATTTAGTGATTGAAGATGGAATAATAAATTCATTAATATCTTTCTTTTCAATATTCTTTCCATTTATTATTTGTAGACTAGATGGTATTTTAATACTAACTAACACTGGTTCAATCATAAATATTCTATCTTTACTAATAAATTGTAGATTGTCTATATTCATTGATGTTAGTGAAGTACATTCTTCAAAACTATTATTTCCGATTTCAATAATTGATGATGGAATATTAATTGATGTTAATGATGAGCATTTTTTAAAACATTTATTTCCTATTTTACTAATTGATGATGGTACAGTAACTGAAGTTAATGACGTACATATACTAAAACAGTAATCTGGTATTATGCTAATTGATGTAGGTATTGTAATTGATTTTAATGATGAACAATATTCAAAACAATTATTTCCTATTTCACTAACAGATGTTGGTATATTAATTGATTGTAATGATGAACATTCATAAAAACATCCATTTCTAAATGATGTAATTGATGATGGAATGTTAATTGATGTTAATGATAAACATTTTTTAAAACAATCATCTCCTATTTTATTAATTGATGATGGCATGTTAATAGAAGTTAATGATATACATTCTTGAAAACAAGAATTTCCTAATGTACTAACAGATGATGGTATATTAATTGTTGTTAATGAATAACATTCTTTAAAACAAGAATCTCCTAATGTACTAACAGATGATGGAATGTTAATTGATGTTAATGATAAACATTTATCAAAACAATAATATCCTAATGTACTGACAGATGATGGAATGTTAATTGATGTTAATGATGTACATTCATCAAAACACCAATCTCCTATTTCAATAATTGATGATGGTATATTAATTGATGTTAATGACGAACATTCTGAAAAACAATAATTTCCTAATGTACTAACAGATGATGGTATATTAATTGATTTTAACGATGTACATTCTTTAAAGCAATTATTTCCGATTTTACTAATTGATGATGGTATAGTAATTGATGTTAGTGATGAACATTTTTTAAAACAATTATTTCCGATTTCACTAATTAATGATGGTATATTAATTGTTGTTAATGATAAACATTTATAAAAACACCAATACCCTAATTCATTAACAGATGATGGAATATTAATTGATGTTAGTGAAGTACAGTCTCTAAAACAACCACCTTCTAATTTAGTAATTGTTGTAGGTATATAAATCGATGTTAATGACGAACATTCTGAAAAACAATAATTTCCTAATGTACTAACAGATGATGGTATATTAATTGATTTTAATGATGAACATCCATAAAAACACCAATACTCTAATTTACTAACAGATGTTGGTATGTTAATAGATGTTAATTCATTACAATTTTTAAAACAATAATCTCCAAGTGATTTAACTTCTGGGGGGATTGTATTTCCATATTTATTTCTATCTGATTGGGTATATTCTATATTTTTACAGATATTTCCTTTTTTCTTTTCTTTTAAATATGTTGAATAATTTACTGCATACCATATTAGTAATTTAATTATTCTTCCATCATTAAATACCATATTGTTTTTATTATAACTATGAAATGTTTCAATATTAGGAAAGAATCTTCTTGAATATTCATCTAATGGAATTGGATTAAAATGAAATCGTTCCATATTTCCTTGAAATCTTTTAACACCCATTTCTAAATTAATAAAATCATTAATATCATTAAAATACATTGATGTTATCATTATTTCATTATATCCTAATTTCATTATTGATTGATTATTGTTTGTTAGTTCTTCTTTTTATTTTAAATTTAAACTTAAATTATTTTTAAGATAATCGTCATTTCATTTATTATTATTTTATTATTATTATTTTTTTATTATTTATTTTTTATTAAGAAACAAGATTCAAACAAATGATATTATAATATTTATTACATATTGTATTATTTGATTGTTTTCATTGTTTTATTTTATTGTTTGTTATTTTATTGATTTTATTTATATTTATTATCATTATCATTTTATGTATTCTTATCATGATTTATTCTTTTATCATTTCTTCTTTTTATATGTCATGTGAAGTTGTTTGTTAAATATGATATTAATTCATTTATTATTTTATTATATGTTTATAATTTGTGTTTTGTTAGAATTAAATGTATTAATGTATTAAATAGTGATACATCATTTATTCATTCATTTCATCATTTCATTCTTATTATTATTTGTCTATTTCTAATTTGTTTTAAACTATGTGTATTTGAATGTGTGATAATAAAATATAA